TGGGTTTGTGATTCTGTACAACATGGAAAAAGCTGCAGCAAGACCGCAAGGGAATTCTGCTCCACGGGTTCCTCTGGTAACACACGTGTTTATTCTAAATAAATGCATAAAAGTAGGAGGGAATTCCCTTGTGTATTAAGGAAGTAACTGTTCTTTAGTGCCTGGATTTGGCATTGGAGCTGGGGGTCATTCCTCAGCATGGAAAGCAGGAGAGCAGCTGCAGCAGGTCACATCCTTGGGAGATACAAATGCTCCAGTGGGTGATTGGAGCTGAGAGCTCCCTGCAGAGCCAGAGCTGCTGCTGATTCTGTTTTTTTAGTAGAGCTGTTGGTGTTTTCCTTTGGCTTGGCCTTCCTTGGCCTTTGGTGGTGGCTGGTGTTGGGTCTCGTGCAGTAGTCCGGGTGTTGACCTCAGTCCATGCTGGGTTTAACGCTCTTACAGGTGGTGAAAACTGGACTTTTGCTGTTGTCAATGTAGAGAAAAGTGAAATGTGATGTCTCCTCATTGGGAGGTGCAGCCTGGCTGGTACCTGTGGTGGGTGTTGGACACCAAAGCTCCGCTGGCTGCCCTCAGAGCAACGGCGTCCACTTGTCCAAACAAAGTGCGTGTGAGATCCATGGGATGGCCAACAGGAAAACGGTGCAGGTTTAGAAAGGGTGGGCTACAGGATGGGCAAGATGGATTCATTTTCTTCAGCATACAAGTAGCTGTTTTCATCTTGCTCCTTGTGGATGCCTCATGACTGTTCTAGGCCAGGTTGGATGCATCTTGGAGCAGCCTGAGGTAGTAGAAGGTGTCCCTGCCCATGGCAGAGGGCCAGAATGAGATGATCTCTAAGGTCCCTTCTGACCCAAACTATTCTGGGATTCTCTTATGGATTTTTCTTTCTGGCTTCAGCAAACACCAAAGAGAAGGAAGAAACTTCACCCCAAGCCTAGATCCAACAGAGAGGCCCTGATAGACCTTCTTGGAGTGGTGCACAGGGTGGGCTGGAGCCAGGGACTCTCTCTGCTCTGAATTTGCTTTGCCATTGCCTTTTCAAAGATGGAAACCCAGGTTCCCTCCATGCTGGGCTTGCCCTCAGGTTGCTGCTGTGTTCTCCTGGCACAGTGTGACAGTCCTGCCCTCTCTGCTGCTCCTTTGGGGTTACAGCAGCTGCAGAAATGCAGGTGGGGGAGACAAGGATCCTCAGGGTCCTCACCTTCCTGGCCTTTGTTTCTGTTCTTCTCTTTTCCCATCCCTTGTTCTCCCCAGACATCTGCTGTGCAGCTGCAGCCCGAGCAGTGGGACGTGCAACCCCCGAGCTGCCGCAGAGCTCCGGCTCCCGAGTGCTCTGGAGCTGCTGGGAGGAGGTGTCCTGTGGGCCAAAGGGGCTGCAGGACTCTGAGCAGCTGCCTGGGGGAGCAGGGATCTGTAATATGCTGTAGGACACTCCTGTAGCCATCACAGCAGTGCCAGGGGACGCTGACTTGGTCTCTGCCACCCCACTGCATCCTGCTGCCAGTGTCCATCAGATGGCACGTCCCAGAGCACTCAGTCCTTCTGGTGCCCCTGAGTGTGGCTGTCCCCTGTTCAGCCCTGCCCTGTGGGGTCTGTGAGGACGTTTTGGTGTGAGGAAGGGACTCGGGTTAGTGGTGGCCTTGGCAGTGCTGGACTCGATGATCTGAAATGGCTTTCTGAGCTTATACCATTCCATGATTCCATAGTCCTACACATAATTATTTTGTGGCTAATATATCTGCTTCAGCTCTTCCTTCTCATCTTTATTAAAGAAAACACTGGCTGCAACCCCGAATTTAGGTTGTTCTGAGTGATGTTTGTGGAAGCAGAGGTGTTCCCTGTGCAGGCTGGGCCCAGCTGCTCTCCCAGGTGCTTTGGTGTGGACAGTGCTGCAGCATCACCTCGGTTTCCTGGTGGCCGCGTTCCTGCCTTGTGCAGCACAAAGCTCTGCACACTGTGGGTGTGAAGGCCTAGTTGGGGTTTTGGAACAGAATAAACCAGACCTGAGGCTGCTGTTGGGTTCGTTTGAGGGGAGGAAATGAGAGCTGCCACATTCAGCTGATAAGGGTGGTCACACACAGCCCTGGAGCCCAACGGAGGGATGAGTGGGCAGAGATAAGGTGGGGGAGTGCTCTGGGGGGCTCTGATGGTGCTGCTGGGGGGTCTCTGTGCCCAGCCTGCATGGACTATGATCCAGATCTGATCCAGACACCCAACAGCTACAGTCTCCCTGCCCCGTGTTCCTGTCTGGGTTGTACCAGCCAGTACTCACAGACACCATCCAGCAATCCTTGTGCAACCTCTAGGATCGTTTTTACCTCTGCATGTCCCTCGTGTTCATGTTCCCAGCAGCTGCTCTGGGATAGGAGCAGGGTGGCAGAGGGCTTTGCTGCCATCCCCCACCTCCAGGTGCTGTCCCCATTGAGCGATGACCTCGGAGAGACACTTCAGGGCTGGAGGTGAAGGAGGCATTTGAGCAATTCCTGATCGGTGACATAGCAAGGAACAGTTCCCAAAGCTAGTGAGACCTATTTACTGTGTGAAGGTTAATTATGGAAATGCGCCGTGTCTGGGAGAACATCCAAGAGCATTCCTCATTCCTGTCCATGTGCCCTGTCCATGTCTGTGCTGGCAGCTCCAAAATCTCTGCGCTTTGCTGAGTGGAGCTGGCAGCTGGAAGCAGGAGCTGCCCTTGGCTGGCAGATGCCATGGCTGCGTGAAGCTCTGTGTGCCTCCTGCCCCAGGAGCCTGGCTGGGTGGGCAGTGAGTTCCAGCTATGCCCAGTGCTGGGAAGGCACTGTGGGGGCTTCCTCAAAGCCCCCTGGCAGGGTATGGGGTTTGCCCTTTGCTGCTGTGGGAGAGATGCCCTGCTCAGGAAGCCAGCTCTGATTTCTCCAAGCAGAGTCAGCCCCTCTCTCCCTGGTACCTTTGGCATGAGTAGGATGCACCTTTCCCATGGGACACCTGCTTCAGCTCCTCGTGTTCTCAGGCAGTGAAGGCACATCTCCCTGGTTCAGGAGAGCTGTTGGGACTTTCTGTCATTCCTATAAAAAGTAGGCAAGAAACTTCTGCTTATAGCTGGGAAGGAAAGTCCCTGTTGTAGGCAGTTTTACTTTCAGGCAGGATGGAAAGAAATCACACCAACACGAAAGAAAAAAGAGCAATTTTCTCCCCTTGGTGCTGGGGTTGAAGCTCCCCCCGCAGTGCCAGGCAGCTGCTTCCAGCTTTCCATGAGGTAACGAGCGAGCGATTTTGTGGCGGGGTTTTCTCCTCACACACTAATTGGCTGTGTGGGACGTTTTATGGGGATTTGGAACCTTGCTGTGGGAAGCTGAGAGCCTGTCCTGGGACTTCTTGTCAGTTTTGATTGTTAAAGTGAAAGTGCAGAGCTGGGGTTCTGGGAAGTGGCCTTCCTGCCTGTAATTCTGCTGGCCTCCAGTGCGCCAGGCTGCTTATTTTAGAGCTTTTATGGAATGTCCTGGACTTTTCCCTTTTTTCCTGGTCCACGCCTGTTCCAGGCCAGGGTGGGGTGGAAGGAACACCAAAAGCATTTGAGAGAGAGCTATCAGGCTCCAGACACCCACAGCCAGGAGCCGTTCCTGCTGGAGTCACCAGTGACTGCCCCAGGGAAATGCCACAGTGCAGTGACTGCAAGAAGGGGATTGGGGAACTTTGTCCTTTTTTCTGCACTTCAGTGTTGGTTTTCATCCTTTTCTTCTGGAACAACGGGAACGTCTTGTCTTCCTTCATTTTTGATTTCCACCCCATTCCTGGGGGTGTTGGGAGGTCAGGCTGGTGGGGCTGGACCCACTCAGGACATTTCTGATGGATCAAGGTGGCACTTGGGTTACAGTCTCTGCCCCTTGCAGAGCAGAGAGAGAGCTCCTGTGGAAACCTTTTCCTTGGGAAACACCATCCAGCCTCAACAGCTGCTGGACAAGGGCAGAGGCTTTGCTGGGGGAGGATTCTCTGGTGGCTCATGGGATTGTGCACCATTAGGAGCTTTTTCCACTGAAGGTGTTGGTGCTGGTTTCCCCCATAGGGTTGTCCAGGCATTTCCTGAGGGCTCATCACCCATGGAGAGCTTCCATAATGGGGCTGCTGGTCTCCCTTCCCTGCCTGCAGTCAGGAAGCTGGTGGGATTTATCCCCTTGTTTCTCAGGGATGCATGGACTCTGCCTGTACTCTCTGCCTGCTCCTCCTGCTATACAACTGGAGTGAGATGATTTCTGCACCGTTTAAACCACAGATCTCAAAGATATTGAGTTGCTATAAGCTCCTGGAAATTGTTTTCCAACCAGTGGAAGCAAGGAGACCCTGTTTGTGCCCTGCTGAGGGTGGGTGTAGTGCTTGATGAGCTTGCATTACACATCAGAGAATCCTGGCACCTGGAGCTGTTGGGAACCCATCTCTGTGGCTGCTGCCTGGGGCTCAGGCTGAGCTGGGGGAGGGCAGAGGGTCTCTGGCAACAATCCCTGGGCTCAGGTGCCATCACCCTGCCCGACAGTGAGGCTCCTGAGAGGTGACAGGGAGGGCTGGGAACACGGCTGGGGTGGGTGACCCTGTGCCCAGCGTCCGGCCATGCCCCACGGCAGGAGTGTTTGCCTGCCCGGCCTTTCCTGCACTTCCCTGGGAAAGCACGTCCATGGGAAGGGCGGGAGGAGGAGGAAGCTGGCTGCTGGCTCCCTCTGGGACAGGACACTTGGAAACCTTTTCTGTGACAGCACTTCTACATGAGGAGGGCTCAGCCTGGGCTGGTCAAACTTCCCCCTGCTCTAGGGGGCTTCTCCCTGTTTGAGGGGCTCTGTGGGGATGCAGGACTTGCCACAGCGGGCAGAGCCCGGGACTTGGCTCCTGGAGAGGAGAGGTGGAGGTTTGGGGCCCTGGCCCCCTGCCAGCCCGTGCTGGGGGCGGGGGCCAAGGGAAGGAAATGTCGTGTTCTGACTCCGCATTTCCACCACGACGACGAGCCCGGTCCTGCACAGAGCATCCTGCTGCAGCCCTGGCTGCTCCCGGCCTGGCGGGGTGGCCGTGGTCACGCTGGGGGTCACCAGGCTCTGGTGTGGCCCCAGTCAGTGCCCGGCCATGCTCTGGTGCCAGCTGAGCCCCGCTGCGGGCAGGGGTAAGCTCAGCCATGGCCCTGCTCCTGCTGCCCGCCGCCAGAGCCATCCCTGGGACAGGATCCATGGCACAGGTGGGAGATCCGTGGTTCTGTGGTTCTGCTCAGGGCTTGGGGCACACGGAGCTGCGGTCGCTGGCTGGGATTGGCCCCGTGGAATTCCCACTGGGAGCAGAGTCGGGCAGGAGTGGGAACTGGCAGGGGCTGTGGGAAATGCCTGTCCCTGGGTCCTGCCCACTCCAGGAGTGTGGGAGGGATCTGCTTCCAGAGCTGGCATGGCCAGAGAGCGTTCCCAGGGACCACCAGTCTTGGTGCCCTCCTGCTGGACAGATGCAGCCATGGGGTGCCCTCCCCACGGGGTGTTGGGTTCTTTGGCAGGGATGTGGTGCTCCACATGGACCAGTTGACCCAGGATATCTCCAGGGTCTATCCCAGTTTCCACTGGAATTGCTGGGTCTGAGCCCTGGAGGGGGCAGGAGGGGTCAGCCCCGGGTTTTGGCAGGACTCATGGCATGGTTAATGACAGCTGTGCGGTTTGGACCCAGATCCAGATGTTCATGCCAAAATTTCTTCCCAAAACTTGCCAAGTATTTGGGCTCAGGGCTTTGGCTTAGTCCTGTCCTGAACTGAGCTGCTTATTTGGAGCATTTTTTTTTTTTTTTTTGCTTCTGTAGTTTGGAATTGAGAATGCAGACTGCAGCCAGAGCTCTGGGCTGAGGCAGTGGGCGGATGGGATGGAATCAGGGTATTCCAGTGCTGGGTGTGTCTGGCCTCAGTCCATTCTGTTCTGGGTGCTCCTTCCAGGAGGGACAGATCAGACCCTGAGGCTGCCAAGGCATTTTCTACCCTTGAGGTCAAATGTTGTCACCCTCAGCAGCAGAAATGTCATCGGGCTGATGGGTGCTGACACTTGGCAATGACTTGTTGTGGCTGTGGGAGCTCTGGGCTGTTTTCCCTCAGTTACTCTAAACTGGAAGAGTTTCCCAGGAAATACTGCTGGCTGCTGAATGGGCTCATCTGGGCAATGGTGATCCCTGTGTGAGGGGTGGGAACCAGCTGGGCGAGGAGTGAAGAATCCCACCAGGGATTTAGTGCTGACTGGGACGAAAACCAGCTTGAAAGAAGAGGGGGAGAGGGCTGGGTGGTGGGAAGGAGGTGGGGAGGAAGGGCTCCTTTGGCAGCCTTTGCTTGGGGATGTTTGCAGAAGTGATCAGCGCTGAGCTTTGGCAAGCTCTGAACTGATGATTACAAAGAAAGATCTTCCTCTCCTGCCTGGTCAAGAACGGTGTTTGGTTTGGTGGGTTCAGAAACAAAATGTTTCATCAGAAGGTTAAAACTAAGTCTTGTATCCCCGTCCTTCAGGTGGCATCACTGTCACCTCCTGCTCTTAGCCCAGTGCTGGCAGAGAGCTGCAGCTGAGCTCTGTCTGCCCAGGACCCTGCTGCTGGTGGGACCCCTGGCTCTGCAGCCACACATCTCTGCTCTGTGCACATGGAGCACGAGCTTGGTGTCAGGGCTCTGGGACGTGGGCTGTGTTCTCAGGGTGTTGCTGCTGCTGGCAGGATGCTCAGGCTGGTTGTTTGCTTTCTTACAGAAATTGAAGCCAAGAAAGCCTGTGACTGGCTCCGGGCAGCGGGATTCCCCCAGTATGCCCAGCTGTACGAAGGTGAGAGCTGCCTCCTGCCTCTGACCCTGCTCTGTGCCTGCTCAGAGCCTCTATCTCTTCCAGATTCCAAGAGGGGCTGCAGGGACAGCGCCCACAGCTCCAGGGAGAGGAGGGGACAGAGGGGATTGTTCACTGATTATATGATTGTTTGTTACACTTGGAGCCCTTGGCCACGGCCTGGAGAACCAGCCAGTTAACTTCCCTGCATTCCTGAACTTTTCCCCTTCAGGCAGGGCTCTGAGGAATCCTGGGGCGGCTGCTTTGGCCAAGGGCAGCCAGGCTTTGGAGAGCCATCAGCTCTGAAGTGGTTCAGGGAGTGTTTGCCGTGGGTGGGAGCATAGGGGCAGCCAGTGTAGGTAATGTGAAGAGCCAGCATGTTCTTCCTGCTTCTGTCCCTCCCCACTCCCACAACCCCTGCCCTGCTCCAGCCTGTCCTTCCTGAGCACTCACAGAGCCCTGCCTGGAGAAGAGCTGTTTTGGCAGGGTGGCTGTGGTGGTGGCTCTGGCCTCAGGCTCAGCTGTGTTTTCCTGGGCCACGGGGGGATCCTGGTCCGGCTGCTGCGAGGAGCGGCGGCTGCAGCCGGCCCGGCCGGCCGGACAATAGCGGGAAGCGGGGCCATTGTTCACCGGGCACTTCCCCTGCAGCACCAGCTCCCCGGTGATGGCTTCGTGAGCAGCCTGTCTGCTGCCAGTGCCTATTCTGGGGGGCAGACCCACGTGCAAGGACAGGCCGAGTTCCTGATGGGATAGCCAGCCCCAGGTGCTGGCCCCAGACAGGGCTCACAGCTGGGCAGTGAGGAGTGGTGCTGCTGCTGCAGTCTGTGAATCAACCAGCCCTTCTCCAGCCACTCTCCACAGAACCTCCCACATCCTCCAAGTGTTTCCCTCTGTTTCCCTTCCCGTGGTGATCACACTCCATGGCTTCATGAACAGATGGATTGAGACCCTTGGGGCTGAGGGCCCAGGTCCCACATGCACAATCCCAGCAGAGGTGTCTCTGCACAGGGATGAGCAGGGAACTGAACTGAGGCCCTTGGGCACCTTATCACCCTCACCTAACGTACCTGGGAAGAGCTGTGCCCAGGGATGCTGGGCATGCACCACCTCCAGGTCATCTCCAGCCACTCCAGCCTCTCCTTCTCTTCCCATGCCCACTGCTGGCCTTTGCCCTGACGGAGCTGAAGATCTCGCTTCCTTCCCCAGAGTCATCATTCCCTCTTGACATCAGTGCTGTGAAGAAGGACCACAGCTTCCTGGACCAGGATTCCCTCAAATCCCTGTGCAGGTAATGCTCCCTTGACTCCCCCCTCACATGGAATCAGCACAGGGATGTGGCACAGACAAAGAGAGCGGCCCAGGCTGAGGGGGTGGTGGGCTCAGGGGGTGCCTGATGGGGTGATGGGCTTGCCTTGACCTTGGCTGGGGTCACAGCCCGCTCCAGCACTGTCACTCCCCTTGCAGTGAGGACTCAGTTGTTCAGATCAGGGAACATTGCTGGCATTGTCCCCTTGTTGGGTCCCTCTGACCGTGGACCCAAAGCAATGGGTGACAGGCGACATGCACAGCCAAGGCTTTAAGGGAGGAAAATCAAAAGAAGCGAAAGCCTTCCCTGTGACTGCATCAGGGCTGGGACCAGGGTAAAGCCACTCTGTTTCTTGCAGGAGGCTGATGACCCTGAACACCTGTGCCTCCATGAAGCTGGATGTTCACTTTCAGCGTAAACAGGTACGTCCTGGCTGCTCGAGGCAGGTGAGGGGCTGAGGGTGCAGGGGATCATCTGCTCAATGATGGAACAATGTCCTGGTGAGCTCTGGGATTGCCCTGGGCACAGAGTGGCTCCTGGAGGCCAGCACTGCCAAAGGGGTCCCGAGCTGGTTTAAAGAGTGACCGTGCTGCTCTCCTCCCCACCTGGGGCCATGCTGGTGCCATGCCCCACTGAGGTGTGGGGATGTGCTGACCCTCCTCAGCTCCAACTGATTGATCATCCCCTGTTCCCATCTGCCCACAGAATGAAGACTCTGAGGAGGAAGAGCAGTGTGCCATCAGCAGCCGGTGGACCTTCCAGAGGGACAGCAAAAGGTGGTCACGGGTGGGGTCCGCCGACATCCTGTCCCAGGGCTCAGAGGCCCTGAGCTGCACCATGCGCCCGGTGTCCAGCCACGAGAGCGTCCTCACGGACCTCAGCACCAACCCCGAGGCCACGTCCCTGCACAGCACGGGCAGTGTGGGCAGCGTGGGTGGCACGGGCTGCACCGCGGCCATGCCATCCGAGCCCCCGTCCCCTCTCCGTGCCGCTGCCACCGCCTCCAGCTGCAGCCAGAGCGAGGGTTCTGCGCCGGAGCAGCCCCCGGGCCAGGGAGAGGGCTCCAAGGAGAAGCTGAAGAAGCGCCGGTCTCGAAGCTTCCTGAAGAGGATCGAGTCCCTGCGGAGGAAGGACAAGGAGAAACCCAGCCCAGACAGGAGGGTGGCTCCGCGCAGCAGCGCCACTCTGCCACCGGGATGGGGCTCTCTGAAGAGCGATGGGGACCTCGCGGCCGCCAGGACCAACTCCTCTAAAAGAGGGACACCTGCCCCTTTCCACAGCAAAAAACACTTCTTCTCGGTATCATACAGGACTAACCGCCTGCTCGGCCCCGGGGGCACCAAGGGCAGCTCAGACCCCAAACGCGGTGGAGTTTACCTGGAGGATTACGACGCAGACACAGCCACTGCCGCCGGCGGTGCCTGGGCTGCCGCCGAGTGCCAGCGCCGGGCTCGCCACGGCGATTGCCTGGTCTATATCCCCTGTGACCACAAGCCCGGCACCTTCCCCAAATCCCTGTCCATCGAGAGCTTGTGTCCCCTGGCCGGCAGCTCCCGCTGGAACGCGGGGAGCGCGGCCGTGGGGCTGGGCAGGGGCGGCAGCAGCAGCAGCGCCGAGGGCTCGGCGTCCCCCAGGGGCTTCGCCCGCCGGCGCCGGGGCTCCTGCAGCTCCCTGGGCAGCCGCATCAGCGTCTACGACAACGTGCCGGACTTCGGCAGCAGCGAGGATTTCTGCAAGGACGGGGAGGTCACCTACGAGAACCTCGACGACATCCTGCAGCACGTGTGGGGGCTGCAGCAGAAGGTGGAGCTCTGGTGTAAAGCCGTCTCCCCTGGCCTGGATGGGGAGGTAGGGGGCGAGGAAGAGGAGGATGAGGAGGAGTCGGACTCGGGAGGGGAACCCTCCAACCTGCATTTCGAAGAACAGTCCATGTCGGATGTTGGCACCTCTGCCAGTGACTTTGGTAGCACTGGGAACTCCCTCAACGAGGCTGAAGAGATCGAGACACGGGAGCGCCGGGATTCGGGGGTGGGAGCATCTCTCACAAGACCCTGCAGGTATCACCGAATCGCGAGGTGGTTTGGGTGGGAAGGGACCGTAGAGACAATCTCGTTACCCCATTGCTATGGGCAAGGACACTTTCCACTAGACCGTATCGCTCCAAACCCCGTCCAGCCCGGCCGTGAACACTCCCAGGGACGGGGCTGCTGCAGCAGGGAGGGGGGCACAGCCCGTGGGGCTGGGGAGCAGCGCCCGATCCCGTCCTCGGGGCTGGATGATCGCCTTTTCCCGGGAAGGCAGGAGCGGGCGCAGGGAGGGGAGCGCTCCGGCGCGGGTGCGGGCAGGGGAGCGCAGCGCGGGGCGCTGGTGCGCTCTGCTGGCTGCAGGACACCGCTGCCAGCACTTCAACACCGACACCGCTGCCAGCCCTGTCTGCCTGCACAGACCCGTGATTAAAAGGTTTTTCATAACGAATAACAAGTGTGAACGCAGCGGGCAGGTGCCTCCCCTGTGCCAGTGTTCCCTGGGGCTCTCCCCGCAGAGCTACGGCTGGTGCCGAGTTCTCTGGCTTTGCTCCCCAAGTTCGGCTGGTGCCAGAGGGTGATGTGGCAGTAACCATGAAGGAGCGGAGAGCAGTGGGGGTTTCCTTAGCTGGGAATGTCCCGTGTGTCCCCAGAAAGCTGCGTTGGCACAGCTTCCAGAACTCGCACCGGCCCAGCCTGAACTCGGCCTCGCTGGAAATCAACCGCCAGTCATCGGCCCAGCTCAACCTGCTCCAGAAGTGCTCCCTGCTCCGGCTCACAGCCATCATGGAGAAGTACTCCGTGCCCCACAAGCAGGCCTGGACGTGGTGAGCTGGGGCGAGAGGGACCAGGATGGGGCCCAAAGACTGCAGCTCGTGCTGTGTCCCCAGCTTGGGGCAGCTTCAGGGTGTGGAGGGGGAAGAGCTAAACCAAGGCCTGTCTGCTCAGACAAGTGTGAGCCAGAGCTGAGTGCCAGGATACTGGCATCACCCTGGCTTCCAGGGGGCTCCTGGCATCATCTGCCACTGTGGGGGCTGCAGGTGTTTGTGGGCCATTAAAAGTGCTGCAGCAGCATAAGAGAGTGGGACAGTGGTTTCTTTTCATAGCCAAGTATGTAAATGTTTTAGCTGAATAAAAGGTGCTGCCATTCCTGCTGGGAAGCTGCCTTGCTTGTACTCCAAATACTGCAGAAATGTGTGTGTGTGTGTGTGTGTTTGTTCCCAGGCTCCTGCTCTCTCTGTGAGGGGGGTGCTGATCATTGCACTGATGTCTCTCTGTCCCACCCTGCAGGACTGTCCCCAAGTTCATGAAGCGGAGTAAAGTCCCTGACTACAGGGACAAGATGGTTTTTGGGGTGCCACCCATTGTCAACGTGCAGCGGACGGGGCAGCCCCTGCCCCAGAGCATCCAGCAGGCCATGCGCTACTTGCGCAGCCAGTGCCTGGACCAGGTGAGGCTGCAGCTGCTGGGAAGCAGCACTGGGATTGGGGGGAAATAAAAAGCTTTAGGGGTGCTGTTGTTCACCTCTGTGTGTGCTGAAGGGGGAGGGTGGGATTGTCCATGGGAACCCAGCAGCACACCCGTGGCTGTCCCTCACTCAGTGTCTCCTGTGGGTTCAGGGATGATCCCTCTGGGGAGGCAGTGCCTTTGCCTGTCCCACAGGTGCCCCCAGGCCGGTGCCCGCTCACCTCGCTCTGCTCTGGCAGGTTGGCATTTTCCGCAAGTCCGGGGTGAAGTCCCGGATCCAGGCGCTGCGGCACATGAACGAGACCAGCCCCGACAACGTCGACTACTCGGGGCAGTCGGCGTACGACGTGGCCGACCTGCTGAAGCAATACTTCCGCGACCTGCCCGAGCCCATCTTCACCAGCAAGCTGACCGACACCTTCCTGCAGATCTACCAGTGTAAGGGCAGGGCTGGGGGCAGCTGGGGGGCTTTGGGGAGGAGGGGATGGGTGGTGGCCGTGGGGACGCCCCGCTGACACTGCCCCGTGGCCGCAGTCGTGTCCAAGGAGCAGCGGCTGCAGGCGGTGCAGGCCGCCATCATCCTCATGCCGGACGAGAACCGGGAGGTGCTGCAGACCCTGCTCTACTTCCTGAGCGACATCGCCTCGGCTGAGGAGAACCAGATGACGGCCGGGAACCTGGCTGTGTGCCTGGCTCCTTCCATCTTCCACCTCAACGTGTCCAAGAAGGAAAGCACATCGCCCAGGTAAGGGCTGGCTGAGCCCCAGATCCCCAGTGCTCCTTCTCTGCCTGCTGTGGGAGGGGTCCAGCAGGGAAGGGTGAGACACTGGGGGGCTGTTGGCTCTGCTCTGTGACACAAGTGAGGGGGTCTAGAGGTGCCCACTGGTGCCAGCACTGCCTGATCGCCCACAGGGCCATACACAAGAGGGGCACCATGGGGAAGCCGGACCAGAAGGACCTCAGTGAGAACATGGCTGCCACGCAGGGGCTCTCCCACATGATCAGCGACTGCAAGAAGCTCTTCCAGGTGGGTGGCAAGGTGTCCCAGCCCAGCGCTGCCTGTGGGAGGTTTGACCTTGCTGGCAGGTGCTGGTCCTGGGGCAAGCTGAGAGCATCCTTTCCTCAGTGGGACAGCAGCCACAAGCCATTCACCCTGGAGCCAAGCCCAGCTATGTCCTGGGGCAGGAGGTGGTGCAGGCTCCATGTCCATCCTCCCCACTCCCTGGGGAATGAGTTATGATTCTATGTGTGTACAGGACCACTCACAAAGTCCCCACAGGATCTCTCTTACTGAACATCTGTGTGCTTTTGGCTTGCAGGTCTCCCATGACATCTTGCTGCAGCTGAGCAGCTCCTATATGGCTGCAGATGCTTATCCCCACCCCCTGGCTGACTTGGTGTGCCAGGGGGAGAGCAAGCATTTACACTCCTACTTTGAGCAGAGTGTCCAGAACCTGCTGAAAGAGTCATCAGAGAAATTCAAGGGGTGGCTGAGCACGCCGGGGCCCCTGAACACGGAGCTGTCCTGCAAAAAGGTAAATGCCACCGTGTGGAGAGAACGTGCAGGGAAATGTGTATGGGGGGGACCTCTCCAGCTGCCAGAGCAGGTCCAGCAGATGGGACTGTGGTGCTCTGTGGCAGTGGGAGCCATCAGTGAAGCTGCTCAGGGGGTAGCACTGGGGTCCTGCGGGACAGTCTGTGCGACCCTCACCTCGTCCCCTCAGGTTGGGGACGGGCACCCTCTGCGCCTGTGGAAGGTCTCCACGGATGTGGAGGCCCCTCCTGCCACGGTGCTGCACCGGGTGCTGCGGGAGCGTCACCTGTGGGACGAGGACCTGCTGCAGAGCAGGGTGGTGGAGGCGCTGGACAAGGACATGGAGCTGTACCACTACGTGACGGACAGCATGGCCCCGCACCCGCGCAGGGACTGCATGGTGCTCCGGTGAGCGTGGTGGGACCCGGCGGGTCTGGGCTCAGCTGGGCACGTCCCTCCAGCCCCATCTCCTCCTCCTTTCCCCTTTCCCGGGCCGTGTGGTGCCCGCGGTGGGCACGCGGTGACCGCTGCTCTGCCGCAGGCGCTGGCGCACGGACCTGCCGCGGGGAGCCTGCCTGCTCAGCTCCCTCTCGGTGGAGCACGACAAGGTGCCACTGGAGGGAGGTGTCAAGGCCATCGTGCTGACGTCCCAGTACCTCATCGAGCCCGGCGCCATGGGCCGCTCCCGGGTGACCCACATCTGCAGGGCTGACCTCAGGTAACGGGAGCCTCGGGGCGGGGATGGAGCAGCAGGATGTGCTGCTCCCTGATACTGCCAGGGTCTCTCCTGCCCGCTCACCCCCTCCTGCCTCTTCCCTCCTCCAGGGGCCGGTCTCCCGAGTGGTATAACAGGGTCTTTGGCCACCTCTGTGCCATGGAGCTGGCGAGGATCCGAGACTCTTTCCCAGCGCTGAGTCCCACTGGCCCCGAGACAAAGATCTGAGGCAGCAAGAAGATGCTCTGTCCTTTCAGACATGGACTTGCCATTGGATGCAGCCTGGGGCTCTCAGCAGGAAGAAGCATGGTGTGGTGCAGTGCCTGTGGAGGGGCAGACAGAGGCATATATTTATAAATGTCCTTTCACCCCGGGCTGGGCAGTCCCGTGCCACGGCCCAGGTGCTGCGGGGCAGGGTGGCTGCAGAGGGGAAGCCATGGTGTCCCGCTGGAGAGGTGGGAGAGCAGAAGGAAGGAGTGGCCATGGGGTGAGCCCTGAATGCAGCCTGTGGCAGGAGCCGGGGCCCCCACACTTGCCAGGAGCAGCAGCAGGGGTGAAGGAGCGTGGAGAGAGGTGGGAGGAGCGAAAACAGGGCCGTGTCCGCAGGTCGCAGTGCGGGGTTGAGAAGTGGAGGGTGGGCAGCGAGGGGGGACTGTGTGTGTGGTGTCACCCGGTGGGGACAGCCAGGGAGTCACTGTGTGGTGGTGGAAGAGGCTGCAGTTCTGGGAGGAGAGGGCTGTCTACAGATACAGAGGTGCCAACCCCTGTCGAGGGGAAGATGGAGCCTGTTGCAGCATTGGTGCTGAGTTCATGGAAGAAGCAGCCTTGTACTCCTGTGCCTTGCTCTTCCTTGGCTAAAAGCCCTCTCTCTGCCCTGGATGTCACTGAGAGGAGGGGTGGATGGATCACGCTCCAAGCCAAAGCCATCCCCAACCAGCCAAGCCGTTATTTGCATGGGGCAGGGCATTGCTGGAGCCCTGGAGCAGCTGCACCTGGGTGGGAAGGGGCAATGCCTGGAAAAAGACATCAAGGTGGGGAGAGACTCCCCAGACCAGCTCCCCTGTGCTGCGCTCAGTGTTGAGGGCTGTACCCAGAGAGGGAGGAGGGATGGCAGCAGGGGCAATTGTTTGGGATTCACCCCTCTTTGGGCAGCTACACATGGCCCATGGCCACCAGCTCCCTGCAGAGACACCCGTTCCCCTTTCCACCCCTTCTCTTCGTGAAGGAACTGTTCACTGGAGCTGTCAGCACCCAGCAGATGACCTGGTTTCTCCATTCAGGCAGGGACCCAAATTCCCAGATGTCGTTCCAACAGGAAGGCAACACGACCCATGAGCTACGGACCCCCAGTGTCAGTTTGGCCATAATTGTCTGTCTTTTGGTAAAAAAGAAAAGCACAAGTCAGCCTCTGTGTTTTTATATATATGTATTTTATATATATATATAAAAATATAACTAACATGTGGGGGAGTGAATTTTCTCCTGATATTTTTTTAAAGTGTTTCTTTTTTTTCTATCTATAAATACTTGTACAGGTGGAATATTAATATATAACTCTGGTGGCAGAGCTCAGCACCAGGTGATGCTCACTTAGAGCTGGTTATTTTGTATTTAAGGGACTTTTCTTTTGTATCATATGAAAGTGCAGCAGTTGTTTGACTTGGATTGGGGCTGCTCTTCCCATCCATGCAATTAATAAAGTACTAACAAGATCTGCTGGCTGATGAGGAAACCTCCGTGTTCAGGGTTCCTCCAGCACTGGAGTAGCCCAAGGCTGAGCAATGTGTGGTCTTGGGGCAGCCCCTGTGTGGGTGAAGAGACTCAAACCCAGCATTTCCCACATCCAGCTGTGCTCCAGGGCCTTGCCAGGGTTTGGGGCTCTCCTGGCATTGCCACCTGCAGCAGGGAGAGCACCTTGAGGAGGAAGATGAGCATCCAGCATCGGCGATGCCGATGAAGAAGAACCACATTGTGCTGTTGAATTCCCTGGAGCAGACACCTCTGGCCGCTGTTTTGGGAGTGGTGATGGGAATGGGATGGAACATACTGGAGCAGATGAAGATGATGGTGATGAAGGCTGCAAGAGTAAAGCCTGGAGAGGAAGGAATCCCTCTATGAGCTTGGCTAAAGTGTGGAATTGGCAGCAGCAAGACTGCTCTGGCTTTTAGCACTAATGGGCAGAGATGTTGGGGCAGCCCCTGGCTCATCCCAAATTCACCCGTGGCCAGGGCTCCAGCACTGGGGTGGAGAGGAAACCCTCCCCATCCTGGGATGGAGGCCAAGGTGGCATCTCACCTTGCAGGGTCCCAGCAGGATGGCAACACCCCTCAGACCCACCCAGGCACCCCACTGATGGAGGGCTGTGAGCTCTCAGGGACCCCCACTCCTGCAGGGAACCCTGCCCTGCCTCACATTGTCCCTGTCCCCGGGCCCCAAGTCCCCAGCAGATTGAATGAAGAGGTTCCCCACCTCTCTGCACGATGCTGTGCTGGGTGCAAACACTAAATAACACCCCAAAGCCTCTGCAAAGCTGGCTGGAGCCATCCCAGGGCTTTTGGACCCACCCCAGCCACCCTCCCAAATCCACCTCCCCTCAGCAGTGTCAGCTGCTCAGTCCAAGAGTGTTTTCCTCCAACCCCTGCTTTGCAGACACTAACATTTAAAATCAATTTCTTACTGAAATCCTCCAAGTTTCATTTACAGAGATTTATGTTTTCTTCCTGCACGTTACTACAGATTAATCTTTCCAACCTTATAAAAGCCAATTCCTACAACTTAACAAACCCCTGCACTGGGAAATGATTGCAGAGCAGCAATGCCAGGCTCAGTTTGGCTTAATTAGAGATAAAAGGAGAGGAAATCATTCCTTATTAGCCAGTCAGGTAGAAGCTGTACTGCATTTAGAGTGCAAACAGCCCAATTACAGGGAGGAACATGCACAGTTGTCTTTCATTACAGGTACTTGGAAATGTGCATCTGGGGAAAATTAATGATGATTCTCTGCTTCCAAAGAGAAGCTGCAGCCATCCCAGCTGGCTGTCTGGGCCATCCCCAGCACAGGAGTGATGCTTGTCCAGCCTGACCATTTGCCCATCCCTGGATCCTTGGGCTGTTAGCTCAGCCCTGGCTGAAGGATTTTAAAGGAATTGCTCAGCCACAGCTCTCAGTGCACAGGTAGCACCTGGTGGTGGAGTCTACCTGCCCTGCCCCACCTACCCAGCACCTACCTTCCCCCCACGCCCTCCTACCCTTCTCAAATTCACCTCACTCTGTACCACACCTGTGCCAGGACAGGGCCCCCTGGCACTGCAACTTCTCTGTCTTCATGGGCAGAATGTTCCCCTCGTCCTAAATCAGCCCCAGCCAGCAGACACCCTCTTGTCCCAGGGGATTTAAGCAGTTCCTTCATGCTGGAGGGCTTCCAGTGGGCTGGAATAACTTTCTCAGGGGATAGGGGTGAACTGGTTTCTTTTCCTGCTCTCAGATTGGGCTTTTTAACCCCAGGCAGTAGCTCAGTACCACAGCCACTCACTCCCACCATCCCCCATGTAGGGATGGAAATGGGATAGAAAAGGGAAACTTTGTGGGTTGAGATAAGAACAGCTTAGCAATTAATACAAAAAATTCTAATGCTAACGAAGAGAGAGAAATAAAACCAGGAGAAACAAGTGATGCCCAGTCCAATCGCCCACCCCCTGCTGTCACAGCATCTTTACACTCTGGTTGTATTTCTCAACGTGAGCTTTGTTAGTGGTCCAAGAATTTCCCACCCTTTGGCAGCAGTCCTGGTCCGGCTCCTGGGATTGCAGCTCCTCCCAGGCCTGGGATGATGTAGGGCTGTTGGACACCTCCCCACACGGGTTCAGCCTCTGGGCTGTACAGCCCAGCAAATGTTACAGCACAGACCCTGAGGGGCTCAGGGAAAGCTTGTGCAACCTCATGGCATAGATTTATATCCCGGGATTTCAGAGGTGTGACCTCCATGGCAGAGCTCTGCACTCGTGTCCCAGGCAGCCCCGCTCCAGCACGGCAATGCAGGCCCCTTCCCACCAGGATAACTTTGTGTTTGAGCAAACCAACCCAGCTTTTCCTTCTGCTTTGTTTGCCACTGGGATGAGCCCTCAGTTCTCAATCAGGCCTTTTCCTGGAGCTTTTTCCTCATCTCTGGATGAAGATCATGCCACTTGCCCAGCCTAGCAGTCACACAAACAGGAACTGTGATTTCAGCATTCCTGCAGAACAGACATTGTCTGGTCATGGACAAGATAGGAATTCAGGCATCCTCCCTGCCTGACTCCACTGACAGAGATTTGGGACAAAACTCTTCATTTTTACATAAAAGAAAGGGCTGTGAACCTATGCAGTGCTCCTGGCCCTGCCAGCACTGCACTGGCACCCTGACAGACACAGATCCTGTTGGGATGACACACCCAGCTTGGAGAAGGGTCCTGTGTCCTGTGGGATGGTGAGTACTCCCAGCAGGAATCCCAAGGGATCAGAACACAGATTATCCTTCTGCAGCTCCCAAGCTGATCCCAAGGCACCTCACTGGGCTCTGCATTCCTTTTCTGTCCTGTCCTCAGATGCAGGAGATCCTTCAGGCAGAAAACAGATGGAAGTAGGGAGATGGGAGAGAACACTGCTTTAACTGGGACTTCGAAAGTTTAAAAAGGAACACAGGCATGCTGGAAACAGATTGCACAAATCTGACCAGATCCTGTAGGTAAGTGAAGTCACACAGTCCCTGTGGCAAGGGGAAGACCCAGGTGCTGAAGGAAATGGGAGACCAAGCCTTTCTTAGAAGCAGGGATGGTTTAGTGGCACAGCTACAAAACAGGATGGAAGGGTATTTGGGCAAGGTGCTCAGAGGATGCTCCAGCTGTCCTCTTAGTGACAATCACAGTGCCAGTCCCACGGTTTTTAACTGGAATGATGACCCCCTGCAGATCCCTCGCTGTGCTTGCAGAGGTCAGGAGGGGATCCCATCCTCCCCCAGCTCATCCATCCCCAGTGCCCGTGGCTGCTGCAGCCAGAGCTGGGGCAGCATCGAGGCACTCCCAGGGCACAGCAGACGTGATCCTGCTCCCAATTCTGATCATTCTTATGACATCCTGTTTCTGCTGGGGGCTGTGAGAAGTTTTCTAGGGCAGGAGCACATCACATCACCTGCTGAAGTCGTGTTCTGTGGGACAGCTGGCAGGCGAGCGGCTCCTGCTGCCCTGCCCTGCTCTCACTGTTCCCTCAGTGCCTCTGGAAAAGACAATTCCACCCTGGGTGCTCTCCCAAAGGTGCTGCTGCCTCTACAGCCCAGCCAGGAGCTGGTGGCATTTCATGTTTCTTCCCAAATTATCCAGGATTTTTACTGTCTTTCATCAAACTCCTGTTTGTCACTGGAGTGAGGTTATCACATTTGTTATTTTATCAAGATAACAAAAACCTCCCCAACCAAACAAACCCTGCCCCAACAGCATCACAATCTCTGGTTCCAACTGAGATATCTCCATAAAGCACAGCCCCTCCCTGGAAAACCTACTTTTCCCAGAAACTTCCCCAGCATCCCAGCCCCAACTCCAGATGTAGAAGCAGCGTTTGCAATAATAA